TTTCATCTCGAATTAATGCATACCGCAATCCACCCATACCGTATCTTGCTTGTTTACTTAAAAAAAAAGAGCGAACAATGAGTGAACTTTGTCTTATACTTTTGATTATGAATGTCTGCATGCCTGCGAAAACATTTCCCCCTGTTGATTATGTTCATTGTGACGGTTAGCGTGTATGATTTTTTAACTGAAATGTGAGCTCCAGTGCTTACAATACAATACACAATACAATACAATGATACGCCAACTCACAATTAGGCAGGTGACAAATTAGACCAATCAAAAATCAGAAAATACGCGATACACCGTGAATATGATTACAGGGCGACGAAATGACAGGAGGAGTGCTTCGACCAATAACAAAACAGCAAAGCCAGTGACCAAAACAGAACCTTGACCAATGAGAATACAGTGCATGGAATGACACAGTCGGAAGTCATGTGCGTTGCGGTCTGGAGAGCGAGCAATATAAACCGCCCCAAAACACGCATCGGTGTGTCGTCTCGGTGTTAATCTCCGTCCAAATGGCTCGTACAAAGCAAACTGCCCGCAAATCCACGGGAGGCAAGGCTCCGCGCAAGCAGCTGGCCACGAAGGCAGCTCGCAAAAGCGCCCCCGCCACTGGTGGTGTGAAGAAACCGCATCGCTACAGGCCCGGGACTGTCGCGCTCCGTGAAATCCGTCGCTACCAGAAAAGCACGGAATTGTTGATTCGCAAACTGCCTTTCCAACGTCTCGTCCGTGAGATAGCTCAGGACTTCAAGACTGACCTGCGCTTCCAGAGCTCGGCCGTGTCCGCTCTGCAAGAAGCCAGCGAGGCTTATCTGGTTGGCCTGTTCGAAGACACCAACCTTTGCGCAATCCACGCCAAGCGCGTTACCATCATGCCTAAGGATATCCAATTGGCGCGTCGCATCCGCGGTGAACGTGCCTAAGCGTCTTCCACGGGAGATCCACTGAGAACGAAACCAAGGCCCTCTTCAGGGCCACTACAGATTGATTTTACCTTTATTACGCCTTTTTTGGGTGGGGGACTGGTTAGGAAGTTGTCGCCCGTGTTCGTCTATTCGTATGTTTCTTGTCTGTACACCACGCGTATTATTTAGACGACGTCGTAACCAGTTTCTCACGTTCTTGTGAACACCGGGTACGTTTGGTGGGTGACATTGATGGTCACCGTCGGGATGGGGTCCGACGAGTACATCAGGGGGCGAAACGTAGCGAACAGGTCGCAGTACGAATCCTCAGATAGCTGTTCGACGTGGAGCGGCGTGCTACAGTTTACAGAAGCTTGCGAACCAGTTATAGAGAGGTGGTCTATCGATGTTTCGGATCAACCTGTAATGGTAATGGAGGTAGTAGTAGGTAAGTTACGCACATAATTCAGGACGAACTACGCAATAGGAATCACGGAACACGAATTAGAAAACCGATGGCACTACACCGCAATGGCTCGAACTCGCAATAACCCGCAGGAGCGAGACGCGAGGAGAAAGGCCACAAGACAGGCGAATCACAAAGTCGTTTATTGAAGGAAATGTCAGTGAATTTATATGTATCTTAGTTTCCACCAATCATATTGCATCACGTCTTGCGTCATGCTGCTGTGCACGTGCTACTGGCGTCAGTGCTCAAGGTCGATTGACTACCAATGTCTGGAAACTACCGCGCTGCTCCAGGGCAGGCGTGATCTCGTAGATCCGAATCACCACACAACGATAAGGTCGAAGCGCTGAAGGAAGTAGATGCTTATGATGAAAAATGGGACTGTTGCGACAAAGAACGCCCAGCGGAAAGTGCGGCTTAACGTGAGGAACTTTTGGTTATACGCAGAAATGGGGGTGCCGTTCTCGATACGAAGTTGACAGGACGCGGGAGTGGTCGGGCCACCAGAAAACTCTGCGAGATAACACTGAGTTCCGTGCCTGTGTCAATAAGGATTTGAGTGCTGCTTGCAAAACCCCTAACGTGAATAGGGCGACGACTAAGGATCTACCGACCGAGTTTGTCGCCACAACTAGTCGAGTCTTCAGTTTCCCTGGCTTTGCACCCTCGAGCTTCGGCCCCATATTTCCGGTGGTACCAACGGTAACCTGGAGGGTAGAGTGCGAGAGCACATTGGGATGATGGGAAACGATCTGGGTATCTGGGCCGGGAACGTGATGCATTCCGTTTACCAAGGTCGTTGTTAGACAGACGGTCGAGGATTTGACAAATCATGTCTAGAAGCTTGTCCATTTTGTTCTCCATAGGAGAACAAGGGACTACACGGGAAACTGTGCTCAGGATACTTGTATAGCTGGACGCTGAGCACCTGGGGACGAAGACGAAGTATCACCTCATCGGCGATGGCCGCCGCAATCGTCAGGGTGGATTTACGGGCGGACGCCACAATTGCTTGTACGTCTGGGGGGATTCGCTGCATCCACAGTTCTCTCAAAATCTCCTCACTTATAGCGGATGGACCCATAATTTGCTAATCCTCGCGCAGCAAGGCGGATGAAGTACGATCCCCGAGTGACCGTTATTTAAAAAGACGCCGCACTCGCTCAACGTCGGAGGGAGAGGTTCGCTTGGCCTTTTGAGGACGCAACATTCCATGATGACATCCTCAATTTGCCAGGCCATATCATGAGGGATGATACTAATATTCCATTTGCGGTTGTGACGAGCGGCAGTGATAACCGTTTTCTCCAAATTGATTTCGGGAGCCGGAGGCATAGAAATGTTTTCTGACAACAAATTATTGCACTCCGCGTAGCGCAAACAACAAACATGAATCGAGGAAAATAACACAGGAAGAACAACCGTTTAATCAAGGGAAAGTGTATTGTTCCCTGAAAATGCCAGAATTTAGATTGACTCTGCTCGAGAGTATCTGAATGCGAAAATGCTTAGCAAGCGAACTCACACACTGATTAAAGTGAAGATACATCAGCGGGGGTAGCATTGACTTAAAAACAGATAAAAGAACTAGCTGAAGAAGCAGCCTCAGGATATCGAAGAACCCGGCAAATCTGTAAGGATGATCTTGTTCCGTCAACGTGTGTCCTTGGTTGCTCGTCTCGACGATATAATACATCCTGGACAATCCTTACGAGGCGCAAAGATTACCCGGTACGAATAGGCGATCCTAACGGCCAACGTAAACGAAATGGAAGGCAGATTGCGAGACCTGAACCAAAGCACTGTATTTGAACGTAAAATACAGTGGCGTGGCACGGTGCAAAGATGGATGTGTGTGGAAATGCGTCAACGTTCAGTAAAACAAGAACGTGACGTAAAACACGAGTGACAAAGCAGTCACTACAAATCCATGCTACAAAGGAGGATGTACGAGCGAAAGCCCCAATGCCTACAACCATGCGAAAGCATACATGCGGAACAGGCAGACCAAAGATGGTGACAACTCTCGAGCATGTTACACTATAGGTCTCAAGCCACTGCAAGAATATGAGTTACATCGATTCGTATGCAATTGTTTTAATCAACCATGAGAGTTCATACCAAGTTTTGGTTCATTAAAACAAACAGCCTATGGCTTCTGCTTATTTTCTCACACCTTATCCTGTAATCGGATAATCGACTACATGTTCGAAATAAGTGGTTAAAACATTTAACAACTTTTGTTTTAAGTTGCGACATAGGGTTTTCGTTTTCAAGACCAAAACGAAAGTTAGATCACCCATATATCCATACCCGTAAAACAACCAAACACCCATTCGGAAGGGATCATGGAATTCCTCGCGTTCATCAACCATATTCCGTATCCCTTAGCGTGTCGGGTTATTTTGTCATTTTACCACTGAAACACAGCTTATTTAGTCGATGAGGGATAATCCTCATATTCCACCTATATGGACGGAATTGATCCCTTGATTCATTTTGTTTAACGGAGTCCTGAATAATAAACAATCATTTTATCAAAGTCACACTGAGATGTTGAGATCCAACTAAAGTACGCATACTGCTATCGTGGAACGCATAACTTGCATGACAGTTGCAGTGACTATATACGAGTGTAGAGCGTTTGAATAACCACATCCAACCTCGAGCTGGTGCAAACAATACCTGTAGTATTAATTCCGTTGTCGGCCAAACCTACGTTCACTTTATGAAAATGATTTCGAAATATTGTATTTCTTGATAACTGAATTTCGCATGGATCGCTTCATACCAGGTATGTTGAGTGGCCGATAAACGCCTTCAGCTCTTTAAAATTGGTCGTAAACTGAACCACAGGTGAACTTTTGTTACCGTAAAGTAACAAAAGTAACGTAAGTGTTTCGTGCAAGTCTTCGCCTGTTTCGCATAACAGATGCACATAATTATGGTAAAGGCCTCAAAGATGACGGGTAAGTCACTTTTGGTTGTGGATGCCAAGGCATTGACGAAATTGAACAACTCAGTCACCAAAAGACATCACGATTACTACGACCCTTAGCGAGCACGGCAAGAACAATGCAGTTCTACTTCGTGAATCGCGTTAGACCACCAATCAATCGCTTAAGTCATGACTCATAAGAGCACCTCTAGTTTCCACCGACGCTGATCATAGGTGATGTATCAATCGGTTTCAATTAGAAACCAAAATGAAGGAAACAGTAAATATCGAAAATGGTCCAAATCACCAGTTGGCTTTAACCGAGGAGCTATCGATGTTGGTGAGTGTAACATTGTCGAACCGACACAAACGAAATTTAGGGGGAAAACAGATTACATCAATTTAGGAAGAGTCACGAAATGGCTTCGGAGATCGATTTTTGAAAATGTAAATGTATTTTACTTCCTTTGTTTTCCATCAACTATACAACTATACCGTCAACTTTCAGGAAGGGGGCCACGTGAGTACCATGGTTGTCTGGGTTAACACCACTGCAAATGCACGAAATGACATGAAAGTTAGATTGTTAAAACAATTATACAAGATGGAACTATTAAATGGACAATGCGACCACTTGACTGTGCTAAGCTAAACACGAGTATCTTTTCCCCGTAAAATTTGGCGCTACGCTTCATTGCCAGTGTAGGATATGTTTAGAAACTGACAGTGTGCATAGGCAGAAGAGAAGAACGTAAGCAAGTGCTATACGACCTGAGGCTTTTCTCACTTGAATGAAGTAAATTCTTGTGGGATCTGATAACTGCCTCTAAATGATCGGATTATTCACAAAACGTTCCAAAATATAACAAGGTTGCACGAGTATTAGCACAACCGAAATATACGCAAACAATTCAGCAGATCGTTGGAACCAGATTAACGTGAATTACAGGAACAAGCTTTAGGCCAATGATGCTTTCAGTTAGCTAAAGGGCTCGTATAATGGGTTGGGGAGCAGTTTCTCAAAATACATTCTTTGACTGAAAATGCAGCGTAAACAAAGCAGGACAGTGAACTCTCTCGAGACCTTATAGAAATGGAAAACACCAGAATATATTGCATCGAAAGACGTTCGATCAATTTGCATGATTTTCATTTTTTACTAAAGATTAGTTGCATCCAAAGTTGCCCCAAGTCTAGAACTGAATCATTCGCTGTTAAATGATACCAACACGATAAATCGAATCATCACTTATCAGTCGATAGGATGATCAACTCCGAGATTGGGCAAATGGATTTCGCAAACATTGCCGAGGATATTAAAAATATCAAACCGACAGACTACATGTTAAACTGAGAATGATAGTGAGGTTATCTGTATTAATATTTTCACAAATGTGGAAACAACCAAGACGATAAAATTCAAAATTTACGAATACATTTACCCGGGTTCGAACCTTCCGATGCTTGTTAAGGAGTTCTAACAAAACTGAATAAACTGTGTGCTATCAAGTTCACATTGGAATTAGTTGGTGGCACTTTGAGAAATGGAATATCACTTGTGTACTCTCCAAGTGCACTAAACGGGTTTTTCACGGCAGAATGACCATCCCCACCCGGTTTCTGCATGTGTTAACACCCCATCTAGTCATTCATTTCTACCCACGAAGGAACATTTTTCATAGACATGGGCGAGTAACCCAAAGTCAGAAACTCAAAAACTGGTCAATCATAGTTCAAATATTCATGCATAGCGAACTCTTTAAGTCCTCAGTGAAATCAAACAAACAGGCACCGACAACCACAACCGGAAACCTTGCATTTACACCAATCGGTCTATTCCGATTATGCATACCCTGAAAACTAGAGGCCGATTACAGTTTCATTTGAGTCGTTACATTTCGGTCGTTATACTGGTAATCATAATTTCTTATTTACCCATTTTCCACGAGGGAGACTGTAATCTACTCAGGGATATCACGAACAAAGTGTACAATTTCGGACAACATGGGACTAAGCACCACCAGAGGCTGCTCACCATGCGGAAAATGACCATATCCTTGAAGTTCGTACGCTTTCCATTGATGTGATTCTTCAAACTAAAGCAACGCATATAAGAGTACTGAACCAAATTAGAACAACGCACCCCATCCCGCATATACTCACGACACTAAATAACTTCGCAGATAAGACAAAACCTTTGTAAATTTATAGGAGCAGCGCTTTTGTCGTACGGAAAATAGACCTAAGGGACACCTGGCGATAGAGCCACAGACTAGACAGTCATCAGTGCACGCTTGGGTATCGCAACAAACAATTTTCTCGACTGTGATCCGTCAATGCCGAACAAGAGATGACTGACATTGCTGCGATTTTAAGCATTGCCAAGACCAAACTGCTTCGTGTATATCTGCCCCCTAAGCCCATACTGAAAAGTGACTGAAATGCCCCTGCGAAAGAAATCCTACGCCTTCGCGTTTTCATGTCTCGCTAACTATTTGGGAACAAACAAATGTTCAAACCATTGAGACGTTCCAATCATACCCAAACAGTTTGGCCAAACTTATCAAGGCGTAGACTACTCCAAGGCCGACGCCGTGCCCTCTGGTCCGGGCGAACAGACGGCCGCACACGGGCCGGACAGATTGTCGCTCTGATCACATGGCCTCATCATCCCGCTGGCGCAGAACAAAGCGTCAGGCCGACATCAAATCGATCGAGACAATCGGTAAACAATGCATCGCATCGCCATTCTTGGTTGAACCAATCAGATTATAGTGAGTTGAACGGGACAGAGATGTGATGGTCCGCGTGACCTGGTGAACCGGGCGCGCTCTGTGGTGTGACGCGTACTAACCAATGAGAATGCAGTAAATTGATGAACCAATGATAGTTCGTCCACACGTCTGAATGACAAAAATATGCAGTTCGGATTTGTATATATTATTCCGCGCAAACCGCTGAGGTCGTTCCACGTTATCTCCTCTCCCTACTTTCACAATGAGCGGTCGCGGTAAAGGTGGTAAGACACGCGTCAAGTCGAAGACCAGGTCAACCCGTGCTGGGCTTCAGTTCCCAGTTGGTCGTGTGCATCGTCTGCTTCGCAAGGGTAACTACGCTGAACGCGTTGGCGCCGGAGCTCCTGTGTACCTGGCAGCTGTGTTGGAGTACTTGGCCGCTGAGGTTCTCGAGTTAGCTGGCAATGCTGCTCGCGACAACAAGAAGACCCGTATCATCCCTCGCCACTTGCAATTGGCCATCCGCAACGATGAGGAGTTGAACAAGCTGTTGGGTGGTGTCACCATTGCTCAGGGTGGTGTTTTGCCCAACATCCAAGCTGTTCTGCTGCCCAAGAAGACCGACAAGGTCAAGGCCTAGACTGTTATCCGGTAGTCTAGGGACGTGGAGAACGTGAAAACGGCCCTTTTCAGGGCCACACATTGTGATTTCTTGTCTTTCTCCTTCATTGTCTTGGGGTGGGGCGGGTTTGGTGTTTGGTTCATGGTTTGGCGGTTTCTGGGCTGGTCCCCTTGAGGACTGGGTTCGGGCGTCCTCTGGGTCACTTGGGTTGGGCCTATTGCGAAAGACCATTAAAGGTCGCTTTCACCGTGCCCATTGCCGGAGAGGGGTGGGTAACGGTTCGCATTCAAGGCCACCATTCGTGATTAAGATTAAAACCGGAGGGAGTGGAGTACGCAATGAGAGAGGTCAGACAGAAACGAAGGTGGCGGAGTAAGGGGGTTAACTGGCGAGAATATAAGACATAGGGCGACGTCTGTGCATTTCGTTATGGGTCATGTAGAAGTGGTCTCGTTCGCACACTTTCATCAGGAGCGTGAAATATGCTCCGAGGTCTCGTTAAATGACGAGATTGATCTCCTAAAACAAGTTGTGCACAAACCGATATTGATTTGCATTCATCGCCGAACACTGCAAAGAAACACTAAATGTGGAAAAACAAAGGCGATGACGTGACTGACTTGGTCAACAAGCGGTTTAACCTTACTGCGCAATTGACCTGTCATTATCTTCCCTAATAATCAGATACCATCGACATCAGTGGAAGAAACAAATCCCCAACCGCCCCGCAAATCAAACTAATCAACATTTCAAAATCGGGATCCCGGTCATCTAAATGGGCAGAACTCTCATCGGAAGGCCGAACACATCCCAGTGTGGCTTAGGAAAGCGATAGGCCACGTGAACGTCATCGAATGAGCAGAAAAAACTTATATCTTCGTTAAAACCTTTTGTAGAAACTTACCGTTTGTGGTGCTGTATATGACCTGCAATGCGTGAGTTGCATCAACAAACTTTATGTTCGAATACCGCCATTTCTCCTTTCGTCTGTGAGATTTAAAGACATTTTTCATGAAAAAACAACAAAGATGCCTTGGTTGGCTATTTCTTTGTCAGATCACAGAACTATCTTTGACACTACGTCGTGCGATGGAATCTTACACAGTACCAGAACTTAAGCTAACCACTGCCAATGCATGTCGGGGTGAATTGTTCATGCTCAAACTGGGTCGCCATCGTACGCCTTCGCTATGCAGCTGCGGTAAAAAGTACATCCGTGGTGTAGAGATGCAGCGAAATTCTTAAATGCAAACTGATAAATGTCATCGGGGTTGGTGATAGATGACTGAAGGCGATCATCAACCAGTGGAAGTAAGAACTCCCTGGCCCTAGAGTAGTAAAAGCCTAAAACGCTTCGCTATTCGGCCTTTTACGTACGTTTGTGGATGGGTGGCTTTCTCACCGGGAGCGAATATACCGGATTAGTTCGGAGTGCAAGACAGCTTGCGCCTCATATCTAGTGACTTTAACAACAAATGAGGTTGACAAATACTATGCTATCCCATTCTTACACTCGGGCACGTCGTGGTCAAACTTGCGATTTACAAGACGATTCCATGAACCCCGGTCACGTTCCTTCAGCGACCTTTGACCAG